TATTACCAACGAACAATGGAGCCTCTCCAAAATCATCGAGTTCAACTTCTGCAACTGCAACTGCCACAATGTCAGCATCAGTGACGGCAACTTATAGTAATCCAGTACCAGGAAACACAAATAAGATCAATAACCCGCCAATTAGTTCCACACCCATAGTATTTAATGTTCAGTCAGCCTCGCCAAATCCAACCACCCTATTACCAACGAACAATGGAGCCTCTCCAAAATCATCGAGTTCAACTTCTGCAACTGCAACTGCCACAATGTCAGCACCAGTGACGGTAACTTATAGTAATTCGGCGCCAGGAAACACAAATAAGATCAATAACCCGCCAATTAGTTCCACACCCACAGTATCTAATGTTCAGTCAGCCTCGCCAAATCCAACCACCCTATTACCAACGAACAATGGAGCCTCTCCTAACTCATCGAGTATAACATCATCAATTTTCGCAACTTTTACATATGTTAATTCTGCAAATCACGGTGTAACATCAAATAGCATTAACGTGAATTCTCAACAAAACAAGAATCTTAACGGAAATGCAATTTCAAGTTCAAAAACAACAAGTCAAGAAAATTCTCCGAAAATTACTTCACAATATAAAAATACTGTTACATTAAATCCCACAGATGTTAATTCTCAACAAAGCAAGAGTATTAACGGAAATGCAATTTCAAGTTCAAAAACAACAAGTCAAGAAAATTCGCCAAAAATTACTTCACAATATAAAAATACTGTTACATTAAATCCTACCAAATTTAGTAGTTCAAGCACTATTCGATCCCCGCCTAAAATTATTTATGTCACCTGGGAAACTTTCTCGACTTCGTTTATTAAACCCACGAGCAGCACATCAAAATCGACTGCACTACCGACAATAACGAGTGCAGCGAGTTTAAATGATGGAAATAGTTTAAATGATGGAAATAATTCTTCTTTTATTTCGATGTATATTATACTTTTTTTCAGCTTATTATTGGATTTATAGACATAATTAATTGATTCTATATAATTTAATCTTAATGTAATATATTTCTTGTAACAAAAATTTTATTGAAAATGTATATAATTTTATGAAGCAATACATGTACAGTTGCTCTATAAAAATGTTCAAAAATTCACTATCATTATTGACTCGTCGCGACCACTTTGCAAAATTTAAAAACTATACATTTATATAGTAAACATATCTGGATCTAAAATTCTTCCTATTAGTTTTTCCAGCAGGTAATAAGCAATCAATAAATGGAAAGCATTTTAAATTCGGAGATATGTTTACTGTTTGCGAGGCTTTTTAAATTTACAAAGAATTTTTGTTCTTTAAATTAAATACAACACCTTTTTGTTCAGATGCGATTTTCATTGATCAAGATATTTTATTAATATAAATTTTGAATTAACCATATGATAGATTATCATTTTTTATTATCGTTATGATAAAGCGAGTCCGTAATTGAATAAGTCTCACCTCGTTATAATCACAACCTCGTTATAGCCACACTTTTTCATAAGAATTTGACCTCCATATAGTCCCACCTTTTCCTGATCCTGTTATTATAACGAGGTACGATTCTACATTTGATATACTACCTATTACGTACTTCAATACACGAATAGCACAACTTTCAAATCGAAGCACATAAATTGACCTATAATAAAATTTTCAGATTTCTGAAATATAGTTGCAAATTCTAATCTTTAGCAATAATTGTTCAATCCAGTTACTTTTGTAGACACAATTTAAGAGCTCCTTCGTTTTAAGATTGTATTCTTAGTTTCTGACGCTATTTCGCAGTATTAGTTCTTTCATTATTAAATTCTTCACATATTTTTTATTGGGCAAGTTGTCATGCTTAGAAATCTTTGATGTTCTGATGAATCTTTATAATTGGAAAAGTAGAATGACTTAAGTCAATCATGTATGATACGCTCAGCTTAGTCACATCAAAGGCGCTGAAAATTTAGCAGAACATTACTTATACAATTTAATATAATTGGTCAGATTTATTATAGGTGTGATTATTTTTTATATTAATGCTGAAATTTTTTAAAAATGCATTATAAAAAATTATATCTTCTCAATAAGAAATATATAAAACTTTAAAATAAAATACGATACTTGATAGTACTTATCAAAAACATTAAATGACGTAAGTTTTTTTATATTAAAGTTTATATAAAAAATCCTTTGCAATTCAAAGTATTTGATGTGACTAAGCTGGGCGCACCCTATGTAGCTTGAAATTGAAATATCTAGACTTTTTATCCTTACACTAAAAAATAATTAAGTCTAGTCTTGTTTGTTAATTCATCAATGATAGTTCCTAAAAATTAATATTTCTCATTTGTGAAATTACTTTATAAAGAACAGATAACAGATCTTATTTCATTATATTGATTCTTTAAAAAATCTTAAAACTGCGTGCCAAGCAATCTACTGAATTTAGTAAATCTTTCAGAAATTTTCTTCCTTGATTAAAATGCGGCTTTGCAATTAACCTCAGCTTTATATCCTATGAATTCTCCTGTTATATGTATTTTTAGAAGCATTGTCTCTTTAATTCCTAATTATTTTTACAATCTAAGAAATCATTTTTCGACAACAATTTCGATATCATACGAGTAGTTTTACCTTTTTAAGAATGAGTAATGGTTACACGTGGAAACAATGTCAACATACATGTAGTTTCTATGAGGAAAATCAATCTCTTTTTTAGAATTCTAATCAGAGAATCGTTATACATCTACGTACGTATTTAATAATTACATGTAGCTTCTTTTGGATATCGATTCACATGTAGCATAAATACATGTACGTATACGCAAGGAGTCACCACATGCATAATGTGTGTCAAATATTGCTTGGATAATCTGAACTACGGAGACATAAGGGCTTACGGATTTTTATGCAAACAAAGAGACTTTGAAACACAATAGGTAGGCAATTTTGTTTGAGTACAAAGAACAATAATGTCCGATTCATCAATAAATAGATTACTAAAGAAAAAGGCTTTAAGTCAAAAATATTGGTTTATTTGTGTTTATTCCTTTAATTTTACTTCCCATCCGATTCATTTTACATAGAGCAACATGGTGTTTGATAATAGATTTAAAACCATAGAATTAACTAATCTTTTTTTTCTAACATTAACTATCGTCTATTGTTTTGGGAATCTTAATGTTGTGCTAGCAGGAATAGCAAAAGAACCAACGTAAGTGAAAGAAAATATTATTAAAGAGAATATTATGTAACGATGAAATTTAATTAATAATCGGACTTTTAGATCAACAAAAATAGAAACAACCCAAACCAATTCAAATTTTATTCCTAATCCTCCAACAATACCATTATTACCTTCAACAACACCAACTCATGTGGCTCCATCTCCACCTCCAATTCCAAATTTTGATCCGAATCCACCAAAAGAACCTTCAACATTAACTATCGCTATCGGAACACCAATTCATGTGGCCCCATCTCCACCTCCAATTCCAAGTTTTGATCCGAATCCACCAAAAGACACAAAGGAAAAAACCAAAACATCTGTGTCCGCAAATGCTCCTTCTAAAAACACGGAATCCGGAAACTCAAATAATCCGAAAACAGCAGAACATACACGTACGCCAACGACATCGACATCAGGGTCAACTCAGTAAGTTTTTCTTTATAACTGATTTTAAAAACTTAAACTTTTATATTTAATTGTTATATTTGATATTTTTAGGGCTATCAAACCACCTAAGTAAGTGTAATAGGATTTTAATTCTACCAGCTATATTATTCGAATTAATTGATTAAATCTCTACGAAAATTATAGGATCCGTATACCGATACATAAACCAACAATTACACCGATACCTGATCCAACAATCACACAGAAACCTCAAGAAACTCATACTAACGCTGATAATGAAAATATACCAAAACCTCATGAACCCTCTACACAGAAACCTAAAGAACTTAACGTTAATAATGAAAATCAGTCAACAAACGACAACACTTCATTCTCTTCAAGTGAAGTTAATACTCACTCTGAAACTTCTCAGCCAGCAGAATCCCCAAAGGAAACTAGTAAACCGAATCAAACAAATTCCGGAGTCACAACTGGGATATTGGATAAGATTACACTTACTACTACTCCAACAGCTTCTTTTACCCCTACGATTGATAATTCAATGGATGGATTCTCAGACTCTCCAATGCCAAGCGGTTCTAGAAATTCTCCTCTTCCATCATCGTCTGCGAATAAATTAACATTGTCTTTGACAAATGTTTGTATATTACTCGGTTTTGTATTATTTGGAATCCAACTGGTTTTGGATGCCTTGTAGAAAATAGAACATTTAATAAAATTTTTACGAAGTCAACTTCTAAAAAAGAACGGCTAATAATGTTTTTTAGCATTTGAAGATCTTGTGATTGAACATACATGTATACGTATTTGGTGTCATTGATCAAATTTATTAATTTAGTAATTATTTTACAAAAAGATAATTGAAGTCCTCTATTGCTAAAAAGATAGTAACTTTAAAAATAAATTATCTTTTACTAATTTTTCAACTATTATAGGAATCTTTATGCATAAATCTTTCTAGTATCTCGGCCTCTAGAACTTCGATGAGCGCTTCAGAAATTACTGTTCGCGACGCCTCCTTTTCATAAACAGATCGTTTTTTATATACGGGAGAAACCATCATATTGACAAGTAGCGAAATAATTGACTATTGTAGGCACAATGCAAAATCAATACATAACTATAAATGAAGTACGTATATATTTTTTAGAAACATAAGGCAAATCTTTTATGCCGAGATGTAGAATTAACCTGACGCTAGTTTAAAAATATTTTTATTACCATTAAGTTCTATATACATGTACATGTAATTATCGTTATATAATTCATTTGATATAGTGCGTTTTCTTTTAAGCTGTTATTTATGATGAGCCTTCTATAATTGGTAGAATTTTAGAAAACTTATTTATCATGTCCTAACGTTACTGGACAAATTTTCTTATTTTCCCCATTTTTCTAAAATGGAGTAATATCTCATGACTCACTTAACCGAATTAGATAAAAATAAAGCCGCATATTTGCTGAACTTTAGTGAAATAGTAACTGAATTTTGATAAGTTTTCAAAATTAGCAACTTTGAAACATGATATCTCATGAATTACCGGACCATTTTTGAAAAAATTGTTACCATTGAATTCACCAAAACTAGGTGAATTTAATGATAGTGTGTTTGGATCATTTTAATTTTGAGCAAAAAAATCGAACCAGTAACTTTGTGGCGCGATATCTCGTGATCCAAAAATTTCAATCCAGATGTAAATACCACCATTCGATTCGCCAAGGCTAGACGAATCAAATGGTGTATTTTTTGTCTGGATAGAAATTGTGGATCACGAGATATCGCGTCCCCCGTTTTTCCGTTTTAACCAGATCTTAATCCGGAAGTTTTCTAAACCTGTGGTTTTCCGGAACTAAAAAACCGTATTTATTAAGTTATAATAACGTGTGCTGAAAAATAATAAATAGATAGTAGAAGTGATAACGATAAGATAAATAAATCAAGAATTAAGAAAGCAGGAAATAATGTTTTATTCACCTTAATACACCATCAACCCCTTGGTCGTAAAATTTACGTGTCAAAGTTTATTTAGTAATGAAAAAACCTACAGCCAAAGAGGCTCGTTATACTGAGTTTTAACTGTGCGTATTTAGATTCTATGAGGTTGAGAATTATTGAAAAAAATAAAGAGACTACAGTCAAGCCTCGATATAACGAAACCTGAATATAACGAAAGAAAAAAAGACCTTTTGTTTTAAAATTACCTCTATCTAGCGAAGTTTCATAAGAAAACTCGATATAACGAAAAAAATTCCCAGCTCAAGAGGTTTGTTATATCGAAGTTTGACTATACTTACTTTTTATTTGGGTATAAATTGCTGATTCTTTTAGTGGTGATAATATTTTTTGAATGATTCGAAACATTTTATTTACGGTAATTACAAAAATGCGTAACTGATTTTCTTTGGAATTGTTATTTATCAATTGAGGATCCGGTACGACATCCCGAAAACCACAATCCCGACAACTGATATCCCGACAAACGAAATCCCGAAAGTCCAAATCCCGAAAGTCCAACATCCCGAAAGTTCAACATCCCGAAAGTTCAACATCCCGAAACACCAACTTACCGAACACTCAACATCCAGAATGTTTAATATCCCGAACGCTAACATCCCGACAGTTCAAACTCCTGACACTTCAAAATCCTGGTTCAAAATCACGACATTTAAAATTTATTGGTCACTGATCGACTTGATTATTGTTAGCCGTTAAAATTATCGTTATTCCCATGTTCATATCAAGAAAAAATGGTGCATTTGACAATTTACATTCTTGATCACCAACCAATAATTAACTGCAAAGCAAGAAAATGAAATTGTGAAAATACGAGCTTGGCCCACTAATAAAAAATATCGGGCAGGTAATTTTATATATAACCTTGTTCTCCACTCTAACCCTAACCCTAATCCAAATCTTAAAATCAAATTTAGTGTTAGAATATAGTATTTCCAGGTTGGAGGTAGTTCGGGAGCCAATGTTTTTTCTTATTTGCAAAACTTCATGGCAATCAATATAGCGTAAGATAAATAGTATATGCAATTTCCTGCTTTTATGTGTTGGAATTTAAATTGTCATTTTTTAACATTTCGGGATTTTAACCATCGGGATGTTGAGCATTCGGGATGTTCGCTTTTCGGGATGTTGGATGTTCGGAAAGTTAGCTTTTCGGGATGTTGGATTTTCGGGATTTTGTTTGTCGGCATACGGGATGTCGGGCTTGTGATCCTCGGGATGTTAACAATCTAATATCAGTTTTATAAATACAAACATATGAAATTGATGCAATGAATGCAAAATTTAATACGAAAATCATGACATACCAATACCCAGTGTTGTCAGCTGGATCATACTGGACATAGTACAATACTGCGCCACTGGACTTAGTAATTTTATAAGTCCAATGTGGTCCGGTCCAGTAACTTCTGGTTACTGAACATAGTAAAGTGACAACGCTGACAATACCGTATAGCACTATATACAGTACTCTCCGTAAAAACATCGTTACCATTTAATTTAACCTCAAGCCATTTTTAGTAATAAGAGTTTTGACGAAACTGTACGACGTGAATTATTCATTTGGTAGATAAACATTGGTTTTACATGTACATGTACTAAGAAAAATCGGACTAAATTAAAGTTTAAATCTGCAGGAGAGGGTACTGTATGCAGTGCTATACGAGAATAAAATTGTAAGCTAGAAAGTAATAACTTTGCAAAAAAAAACTTTGATACGTCAAAATACTAGAGCCACACTTAAATTTATATATAGTAAATTCATGAATTCCTGTTGCTTTAAGTCAAACCACACTTACTGAAAGTAAGTAATCCAGTTTAGTTAGCTTATTAGTTTATAATCCAATTATTAGTTAATATTAAAATAATTTGACAAATATAAAATATGATTCGAACTGTATTCAGTAATCTAGTTGTTAGGATAGCAGGCGTTGAAATTGGTTTAAGCTCAATAGTGGGATTGTTGCCTGATATGCTATCTGTGTCAGAGTTTTAAAGTTAGGGATAGGAGACTTTATTGAACTTAAAACTATCCGAGTTATATTTGCTGATCTCGTAGCAATTTAGTCGTCGCTAATTTCATAGTTGTAATCTGTTGTTTTATAGATAAAATTAATAATTTAGAATTGATATTAAAATATTTTATAAATTTTGTAAAATTATAGCTGTTGAGCAAAAGTATAAAACAAAACACAAGTTATGGTATAACACTCGCAATAAATAAATAAAAAAACAAACAATCTATTAAAGATTTTTTGGATTTCAAACTCCTATGATTTGTTATGTAATTCACGTACAGTCGTAATAAAGGTATTTGTAATTTCTAATTACTTTAACTGGTAATGACGCAAAATCTTACTATGTCAACAAGCTTCATCCATCAAGAAACTATGCTCAGCCGAAATTATCGCGTTAGAAAGTAAAAAATAATAAGCATGATATTAAATAATAATTTGAGTACCTGCACATAGAAGGAGATTACTTTATGTCTTAATTTTTGAGGGTACATATATTATCTTACTCAGGAGCATTTCAGAAATGGAGTTTTTTTCAATAGTTATTTATTAATTATTAAATAAAGGTTAAAGCTTACTTGAAATAATGCAATCACCATATTCTATCATAAATTTTATTATTTTAAGTTAAAGATGCAATGTAATAATTTTCGGAACTTATCCACTACAAAGTTTAAATATTTATCTTGTTTTGCAATCAAGTATTTTAGTATTTTCTAAATACATGTAACAATTCAAAATTATTACGTATTTATATCAGAACGTAATACGAACGTACATCGGTGTAAAAATTGAGTCGACATCAGATTTCAAATATCTTATGCGATACAAAGTTTAATTATTATACAAAGGTCACTGTATTGATGAAAAATCGACTTTTTATAGTCCCGTGTAGCGATAGCTACTCTTTTGCTTTTTATATTTACTCATCAAATTAGTTTTTACAATTCTTTCATGCTTTTCCTCCATTATTCAATTTATTTGTACAGTTATCGTTATTAAATTCGAGACTTTCTTTGATCTTAATCTTTAATACAAATATTAATCTTACTAGTATCGCTAAGATATCAAATAAAAACTAAGATTAATTAATCTAAACCTATTTTTTCATCGAATAAAAATTAAACTTAGGCCAAAAGAGAAAACAAAAGCCATCATTATCCTTTCAAAAATTGCATCAATGAACAGAAATGAATTCGCGCTTGAATAAAGCCCATTCTTTGGAGTGATATTTGTTGCTACTTCAGATGAAGGCACAACAACGTATGTTGCAATAACTAATACTTTAGATGAAGGCACAACTGTCGTAATTATTTCTACGGAAGAATTATCTAAAGTGATGGTAATTGACTTTGTGGCAGAAGTTGCCAAAGTGGATGTAATATATTTTACAGAGGTGATGGAATTAGGTGATTTAATAGAACTTTGAGTTTGCTGCGAATTATTCTTAGTAATTGTCTGAGGATCAGTCCTGGTAGGTTTATAAGTAACTATAATTGTATTTTCAGCACTTGCAGGTACAGGAGACTTTGACTGATTATCGTTACTATTTCCCGAGCTAAAATGAAAAATTATATTTAAAGAAAATATTCTATTAATTAAAATCACATAATTATTGATATAAAATTTACCTCGGTTTCGTAGGAGGCGGGAAGCTTGGAAGAATATCAGATGGGTTTTGTATAGTTGCAGCCGTAGGTGCTGCTGCTGGACTAGAAAAAGGTTTTGGAGCAACGGTAGGTTTATTGTCTGTATTCGGATTTGGATATGTCGGTTGTGGTTGTGGTTGTGGTGGTGGTGATGGTGGTGGTGGTAATTGTGCCGTTGGTGATGGTTTCGGTGGTGGTTGTTGTTGTGTCGGTGGTGGTGGTGGTGGTTGTGGTTGTTGTGCCGGTGGTGATGGTTGTGGTTGTGGTGGTGGTGGTTGTGTCGGTGGTGGTTGTTGTTGTGTCGTCGGTGGTGGTGGTGGTGGTGGTGGTGGTTTTACCGAAGTTGCTGGTGATGGTGGTGATGGTTTCGGTGGTTGTGTCGGTGGTTGTGTCGGTGGTAGCGATGGTAATGGTTGTATCGATGTTGACGATGGTGATGTTGGCAGTGGTGGTGACGGCGGTGATGACGATGATGTTGTTGTTTTCGCTGACGGTGCGCTGCTGCTACTAAAATATTATGACATTATGTTCAAATTAAACTAAAAACTTATAAAGTTTAACGAGTAGATTTTAGTCATACATACGATTTTTGAGCTAAAACATTAACAATACATATTATTAAAAATATCGTTATTATTTTGAGGTTATTCATTTTTAAAATTCGATATTTGAGGGTGAGTCAGTAGAAACCAAGCAACCCAATTTTTTTCCAAATGGGTTTTTATATTTAGACGACAGAATAGACATCCAATAAATGTACGTATTGCACTTTGTGTAATGAATTTACTATGAAAACCTATCTTCATTTTCATTGGCTAAAATTGAGGATCAATTTCCATATATGAGTATATATTATTTGGAGATAGTAAGTTCACCTCCGTGAATGTTTTTATGTACATGTAATCGATATTAGTAAAACTAAGATTTGGTTTCAATAATAACGATAAGATTTTAAACTCTCAAACAGAAAAAAGAATGGTTGATTTTTTTAGTATGGAATTGCTTGAGAATTCATTGAAACGAATGCAAAATACAAAATGATTTGAATCTTTCTTCTTACACGTATTTTTAGCGAATACGTACTTTAAACAAGAAAATTGGGTTTTTGGTGAAACAATGGTTGATCTACAATAAACTAAAAAACACTGCTTGATTGTTTGCTTAAGAGCCTTACGTAATAGAAATTGTTGAAAGAAATTATTACTGCGACATAATGAGGCTTGGTATAATTCGTGAAACATGCTTTTTTTAGTGAAACAGTAACTTAATTGGATCTTTTGAAAGGAATTTGATTCAAGCCGTAACGGTAACATGGTTGTTTTCTTAATAATTCAAAGGCTCCTTCGAATATTAGTACAATCTTGTATCAATTAGTATTGTTTAATAAAAATAATAACACAGAAAATCTTATGTTGATAAGATTCCTTGACTACCCTCGTTTAACATGTCAACTAAAAAAAGAACAAGAGAAATTAATCGTTGGTTTTACAATAAATAGGGACTTATTTAATTAAGAGTCAAAGCAAAAATTATTGGTTTTTCTAGTAACCTATTTTTATTTGCAAAGTTTATACATGTAGTTGCCTGTGAAGTAATGAATCACTCTCATTAGTACTTATACCTTACTCCAAGCATTTTCCTGTGATAAATTGTACGTACTTACCTAACTTATGGGGGTATTTTGTTGATTGTTAAATCAAGAAAGAAACAAGTTTGTTAATGATACAAAATTTTATTGTTGTGCAAATCGATAACGGTAAGTATGCTTTAGTATTTTGTTGAATGCTAAAATAAAGATACAATTTATCAATTATGCATAAAGTCTCTAAATAGATTGATTTATAATCTACCGATTGGAAGAATATTACTCGGAGATGCTGGAGATGCTGCTGTAGGCGTAGGTGCCAAGAACTTGTATTTCCATATTTGGAAGAGGTTGATCTTATCTCCCGTTACATCATTGTTACGTACCGGTACCCGACCATTTTTTTCTTCGATTTAACGTTAACGGGAATTGACTATGTTATTTTTAATTATATATATATATATAAAATTTAGATAAAATATGTGACTGTTAACCTATATCGTATATGTAATTCAAAATACATAGTCAACTCCCGTTAAATCAAAGGAAAATATGGCCAGTTTAACAAAAATTGACTGTATCACTAGAAACGCATTCGTTCTATTATTAAATATCTACAACTCGAAAATTTTAATTTATCTTTTTTCTAATATAAAACTGAAATCAAAAGAAAATTGACAATGTCCAAATTTCTAATACTTATTTTACTATTCCAAAAATACTTTTCTGATCTTTATTTACTTATTTATTTATAGCGAAGCCAGCTACAATAAAATAAATGATTCTCGAAAAAGCAATGATCTGAAAATTTCGATTTCTAATAAAGTGAAACCGAATTTTTTCTCATAATTTGATCGTGAAAGATCATTATTTGCCGGAAAGCTTTTAATTTGATTTATTAGATTAATAGAGTCTTATAATTATAAATTTGAAATCACTAACTTGTCGTAATTTACGCATCAATATAATTTTAATATACATATTTATAGTTTAATGTTGATTTATCTTATTGTATTTCTATAAAAATATATTAATAGTACAGTTTGAGTAAAACATCCTATAAAAAATACGCTCGTAAATTTCGATGCATGTAAAAAATACGGAAACATACGAAACAGACTGATATGTCTGTAAAAGATATGTAAAAAGGTCACTTTTATCGAGTACGTATGTTTTTATGTACGCGATTTACCGTTACGTGTTTATATGTCTGTAAAACACATAAAATGTGACATTTTACATATCTTTTTACAGACATATATGTCTGTTTCGTATTTTTTTAGACATATTATAGAGAACAGTTGTAGTGGCTGATTTTGTACTAGAGTGATAAAATTTTAGCATTCAGTACAGAAACCAAATAACTGGAATTATAAAACTGACAACACTGAAAAATTCAAAATATAATATAATTCGAACAGTATTCAGTAATTTAGTTGATGTTAGATAGTAGGTTGAAATCCGTTCAAGATCAATTGTCTGTATTTGGATTGTTATATGTTGTTTGTGTTGGAGGTTTAGAGCTAGGGTTGTAATATTTCTGATAATATTTTGAACAACTATCAAAGTCACCTCATCAGAAAACATATTATAATGGAGGAGGAGATTATATTGAACTTGAAACTATTTCATAGCAGCATTATTTCTATAATTATAATTACAATTACATATAATTAACTTGTTATGTCATAAAAATAATTAGATGTTTACCATTTAAGTAAAGAAACAATATAATAAATTTACAGAATTATCCACTACAAATTTAAGCTTTAAATCCTACTTATATTTAATATAAAGAGTTTTGTAAAAAGTTTTTATCAAGTATTTTCCAATTCTCATGTAAGTAAGAACATTCGCATCGATAGATTATAGCGATAGTAAAGCACTTGCAGGAAATCAAGAAAGTAACGTTGATGTTGATGTTGTAATAAAAAATGTATTTTAGACTAAAATTATTATATATATAATATAGTACATTTGTATAGTAGAAGTCTTTTGATTCCAACATCTTATGATTTTTATGCACAGTCAACCTAGATGTAACAAAGCACTGATCAATCCGGAACAGTTATAGCAAATTCACTTTGATGAATTTACCAAATTTTTTATTAATAGTTTGACCACTTCGTTATATCCAGGTTTAATTGTAATTCGTAGGTTTCCGAGTTTTTTTATTATATATATATAAAGGCTGAAGTTTATTTGAAACGATGAAATTACCCTAATCTGGATAAAATTTGATGCTTATTATTTAAAGTAATAATTTTTCGGAACTTATCCGCCACAAAGTTTAGACATTTATCTTGCTTTGTAATCAAGTATGTTTATTTAGGAACCATCCGATCTATGTTATTGCTTAAACAACATAAAAGTGCAAATAACGATGTATTTTCTACTAAATTTATTATATTGATATAGTAACATAAGTCGATATAAGATTTTAACATCTTATGCGAAAGTAAAAATTACTAGTCTTCTTAATGTGCAACATATGCAAGGATAATTATGAACGTATGTAATTCGCGTTTCTATTAGCCAAATTTATCTAAGAGCAAATATAAATGACGCGATTTCATATCGTAAGCAAAATAATTTTAAAGTGTATATAAATATATTGTCATATTTCAAGTTAATATTCTGAGAAAAATAATATAAGGTGAAAGGGGGTATTTTGACGAATGGTGAAGGTATTGTGATGTTTTTAATACTGTAAAAATTTACCAATATCTTTTTAAAATGCAAGTCTTAAGCATATATTGACAGTATTTTTATCTTTTTTTTTATTTGTGTTTTAAGCATGATCTAACCACTTTTTTATCATTTACTCATCAAATAAGTTAGCTTTTTATAAACAATATTAAAGTTTAATTTATTTAAAGATATGTATTTAGATTAGAGATTGTATTAAGATTCGAGATTTTCTTTTAGATTCAAATTCTTAACCTTGCTAACATTGCTAAAAACTAATTTTTCATTTAATAAAAATTAAACTTAAGCAAAAAGAGAAAATAAAGGTCATTATTTTCCTTTCAAATATCGCATCAATGAGCAGAAATGAATTAGCATTTGAAAAAATCCCATCACTAGGTGAAACCACAACAACGGTTGTCGCAATAACTAATACTTCAGATGAAGGCACAACAGTCGTAAGTACTAATACGGAAGAATTATCCAAAGTGGTAGTAGTTAATCTTGTGACAGAAGTTCCCCGAGTGGTTGTATAAGTTGTTAGAATGGTGGTGTGTGATCTAGTAGGACTTGTTTGCTGCGAAGTAGGCAAATTATTCTTAGTAATTGTTTGTGTCAACATTTCATTTTGTGGGTTTAATTCATTATTTTTACTCTCAGTCCTAATAGTTTGCTGGACGGGTTGATAAGTAAATGTAATTGTATTTTTAACACTTACTGTATTCGGATTTGCCGGTGGTGGTTTTGCTGATGTTGCTGGCGGTGGTGGTGCCGAAGTTGGCGGCGGCGGCGGCGGCGGTGGTGGTGGTGGTGATGATTGTGGCGGTGGTGGTGGTACCGAAGTTGCTGGTAGTGGTGGTGGTGGTGGTGGATTTGTATATGTTATTGTTACTGGTGGTGGTTTTACCGAAGTTGCTGGTGGTGGTGGTGGTGGGTTTGCCGAAGTTGGTGGTGGTGGATTTGCCGAAGCTGCTGCTGGTGGTGATGGATTTGTATATGTTATTAGTGATGGTTTTACCGAAGTTGCTGGTGGTTGTGGTGGTGGATTTGTTACTGTTGGTGGTGATGGTGGTGGTGGTGGTGGATTTGTTACTGTTGGTGGTTTTACCGAAGTTGGTGGTGGATTTGTTACTGTTGGTGATGGTGGTGGTTGATTTGTTACTGTTGGTTGTTTTACCGAAGTTGGTGGTGGATTTGTTACTGTTGGTGATGGTGGTGGTGGTGGTGAATTTGTTACTGTTGGTTGTTTTACCGAAGTTGCTGGTGGTGGCGATGATGGTGGTGATGGTGGTGGTGGTGGTGGTACTGGTGTTACTGGTGCTGATGTTACTGCTGATGTTGCTAACGGTTGTATATTAACCTGTGCGCTGCTACTAAAACATTATGATCAATTAAAATTAAAAAAATTATGTTTAACAAGTATATTTTTAGTTATACATACGATTGTTGAGCTAAAACATTAACAGTACATATTAACATTAACAAAAATATTAGTTTGAGATTATCCATTTTAGACGTTTGATACTGTCTTTTTTGTTTTGTAGTATACGTATGGATATGTACGTGTATTTATATTACAGTGTATCGATATGCTCAGTACTTGTTATGTACATGTAATAATGATGATAAACTTGGAAATTTTTTAATAGTTTATTTTATTTTTAGAACCTTTCTTATACATACAATATCGATATGTTTGATTTTTTGAGTATGGAATTTCTTCATTGAGTACTTGCTCTAGAAAATTTTTTTGGTGAAACAATATTTAAGCCAAAATAATGTTCACAATGAAGGAATGAAGAATGGGCGTTTATCAAGATGTAGTTTTGATGTAACACGATTTTTTCCTATTTTCTTGATACATGACGGATTAAAATGAAATCTGGTCCTTTTTTTGAGGATGAAAAAGTATTAGAGCATAGAGTATCATACTGACCTCTAATTATTCGTATACCCATCCATTTGTCTTTAATCTGCAACAATAATTAAAGATATCGGTATTGGTTCAATCCTGCATCATTTGTTTAATAAAAATAACAAAGTTTTTGTTTCTCGGCTTTCAAATTGACTATACACACAATCATTTGACATCGATTAAAAAGAATTTCGATTTAAATAAGAGTCAAAGCAAAAATGATCAGTTGGGCTGAGTGCTGGAAATCGACAAATTAGAAATATCAAGAAAAGCCGATATTTGTGCTCGATTTGATTTAGCGTTAGATGTCGGAAAAAAAAGGAATATTATCTAAACCCATTAATACATAGATGAATAGACTGCTTGATGACAATCAAAAGAATTGCAACAGTATCAAAATTTACTAATAAAACGCAGGTTTTTCTCTATAACGTTTTACGAATAAATTAGTAAATTTTGATACTGCTGATTTCCAATGTAACGCAGGTTTTTCTCTATTATCGTTACTACAAATTTGTCCCTATTATTTTATGCATCTATATTTAAATCAACATGACAAATAAAAAAAGCATACAAGTTTTCTCTTTCATGTCTGAATAATATCATGTATATTATTCTATAGCTTATTTTTATGTACTTTAATATATATTAATAAAAAATATAAAGTTAATTTTTTCCCATTAATTACAGTTTTTATCAAGTAACTTTGGATGCTAATTTTGCTGATATATATCAATATGTCATAATACATATATACAGTCAACCCTCTCTATTGTCAACATGACGGGACCAGGCATTTTCGTTTATATTTAAGAGGATTGATAATTCAGAGATTAGAGTTAATATCGATATATTAGTCCAAGTGAAATTTGTTCTGCAATAAATGTTGATAATAAAGATAAAGAGGTTGATAATAGAGAGGGTTGACTATATATATATATATGAGTGTGTATACATGTTCAGAATAATTATTTGCCAATTTACGGAGCACATAATATTACTTAAAAGTTAATTGAGATTTTTGATAAATTATATAGATAAAATTTTATTAATAATAATTATTATATGTAATATGTTCAAGTATAAAAACTACTCAAGTATATCTTATATTTTTCAAATTTACTTAATATTTATAGTTTCAAGTACTTTATTTATTTTGCAAATATTTATTTGTTGTTAGTGTCATTAACAATTTTCATTTTTTTATATTTGTTTTATATAGTCACAATAAAGAAAACTTATTATTTTGTATAGTCATAAGTATAATTATATGGTAAATGCTATCTAGTCAATCAATTTCTTGTTTTAAAATCTATATTTTGAAAATCTGTTCTACAATATTTTATTGAATAAATCTAATTGTAAAACTTATTACAAAATTTATTTGTAACAATATAAAAAATAACTTTAAAATAATAAAATATAATTAAATAAAATATATTCTAATATAAAATTATATAAGAAAAATTTTTGCTTAAAGTATTTTCTAAGAAAAATTCTGAGTTATTAACTATTTTTAAATAATTAATCAAATGTGACAATTTGTTTCTAATTAATAAAATTGTATAATTATGATCACGTGAATACAAATTTCAAAACAACAAAGTAACAAATTTTTAAAAAATAACTTAGAACTCAAAATTTTTCATAGAAAACAATCTTTAATATGTTAAATAAAATTGTTTCTTGCAAAATTTTATATTAATTTTAATCTTAACTCAAGTTTAATCCAAATTCTAAAATTAAATTTCTCTATTGTTACATATATATTAATATTTATTTTTAATTATAAAAAACTAATTTTTTATACAAAATAATATAATTAAATAAATTATAATACTTAAAAACTAAAAAAACAAAATATAGATTTATTTATAAGTTTTTGAATTTTATTTTTGAAATTTAAAAACTATTATTATAGAGACTGAAAAAAAGTTACTATTTAAATTCTTTGAGAATAATATATAAAGATACTAATAAAATAAATAATCATATTTGTATCATTATAAATTATAATTATTAATTAAGATTATCTTTTAGACAAGATTTTAAAAATTGTAAGTTTTAGACAAATTGTTTAAAAATATAAAGGAAAAAAGTAATACAAAATCTAAAGTACTTATCTAATTGATATAAACTAAACTTTTGTATATTCTTGTTATATATTATTTCAAAATTCACGTTAATTTCAAATTGACATATATTATTTCAAAATTCACATTAATTCCAAATTGACATATATTATTTTAAAATTCATATCAATTTTGAATTAATATATATTATTTTGAATTTCAAAATGACATATGTCATTTTAAATTCAAAATTAATATATATCATTTTGGAATTCTAAAATAATGTATCAAATATAAATTTTAAAATAATTAATATGAACTTTGATAAGTTAAAATATAATCATAAAAAATATTAATATCATACAAAAATTTAATTTTTATTATTATATTTAATTTGTTATATATATTATATAATTATCAATTTCTTTCTCAATAACATATGAAAGTATATGATAAAAAGACTATATAATATGAATAACAAATTGTTATGCACCTATTATTACAATGACAAGAATCAAGTAATTCTAAATCTTTCTAATTCAAATTTTATTTATAATAATTTGTTGTTATTTGCAAGAAAATAATTTTGATAAAATTTAATTAAGTTCAAATTAATTATTAGTATCTAATAGTTTAACTTTATTAGAATAATAAAATATTTCCAATATTCCAGCTATATATTCCAAAATCAACATTTTATTTTTATTAATATTATTACACATTTTTCACTGATAGGGTAATTAGCTAATAAACGTGAACAAGAGTTGAAAGAGATAATTAAACAAGAATAAGGAAAATATGAAAATAATATCTAAGTCCTATGACAATTTTTATTGAAATTGTTATAGTTTGAGAGGGAAAAAGAATAAGATAATAGTATTTCAATTAGGTATAGTGTTCCGAATAACTGTACTAACTAATTAATTTACGAATTATTTAATTAAAGTAACTAATAATTTAACTAATATCAAGAATAATAAAAGTAACAAAGACTCTTTCACTTTGTTCTTCTCACAAGAAAGAAATTACGATGTCTTTAGTTGAGGAATTCCAAA